CGATTTAGTTAATTAATTAATATTAATTAATTATCCAATTAATAATATATTTCTTTATGTTGGAATGTCATGTTTGAACATTTTTGAGGTCCCAAAACATTTTTTCAATACTCTGGGTTTAATTCTGACGCTTTTGAAGCTTACAAAAATTTCTGTAATAAGTTTTGAGCTATTTGTAAATTTTTTGAGTAAATTTTTGCAACATTTTTGCTCCGATTAATGCTCTGATTTTGCAGAATGCTAGAATCAAAGATATATTTTTGAACTATAAGATTCAACGTCCAAAAATAGGGGGGCAACTGATACGTCCTCAAAAATTGCTTTGATCGAGCACGAATCTCGAGGCATATTCAAGTTGGAAACTTTCAAAATAAAATTTGGGATCATCTGAATTCTAATTTCAGCAAAGTTATAGTCAAACTGAACATCTCGAAGAGACGAACCAAACAACACCAAAATTGTTCCAACACAAGCCCAAATGCGCGAATCGAGGGCCCGAACACATTTGGAAGGGTCAAAGGCTATTATTTGGATAATAAACATAAATCCAAATATGAAGCATGCTTATAAGTCAAATTGAGCGGCTCCGAGAACGAATCCAACGAGCCCAAGATCTCGAATTCCGACACATTAAACGCATATAACATAGTGAAACTCACTACGATATGGGGAATCAATATGAGCCATCCGATGGAGCCCACCAACAACCCCGGATGTTCTCTTAAATTGACGAAGGTGTGCCATCATGAAAATCTATAATAGACCCCCACTCTCAATACATGAGGGGACCTTTTGGTTGGAATTTTGAGAGAGCACTCTTGAAGCTTCAAAGCTCTAACCACAGTCGGCCACCGCCTTGCCGCGGGACTTCACTCGGCCACCGCCGCGCCGGACTTCAGCCCAACCTTCTTCAGACCACCGCCGGCGCCGCCTCCGCCAGACTTATCAGCCGTCCTTAGTCAGACCACTGCTCTGGCTGCCTGCTCTGCCGGAGACCACCGCCGGCCGCGCCGCTCGACGACCTTCTCCCGGCCACTGCCCACTGCGCCGACTTCAGCCTGACCTAGGTCAGACACGCGCCCGGACCGCCGACCTTTTCCCGCGCCCGTCCTTCGCGCTTCCAGCCTACCTGTCGTCGGACCACCGCCCGACTGCGCCCACCGCCCGACTGCCGCCACCGCCGGACTTTCGCCCAGCCACTGGCCCGGCCGTGAACTTCAGCTCGACCTGTCGTCGGACCAACGCTCGGCTTCACCTGCCGTAGGCACCTTGCAGGCCACTGCCCATTTTGTCGACCTTTCCCAAATTGACGACGCTGCCACTTCAGCCCGACCTTCGTCGAACCACCGCTCGGCCGCCGCCTACCGTCAGGCCTTCGCTAGCCCACCGCCGGACCTTCGCCTGACCGTCGACCGCCGCCGGACTTCAGACCAACCTTTGTAGAACCACCGCCCGGTCGCTGACCGCCGCCGGACTTCGCCGGATCTTTGGCGGACCACTGCCCGTCCGCAGACAGCCTCCCGCCGCCGGACTTCAGCCCTACCTTTGGCGAACCACTTCCCGTCCACCGACCGCCGCCCGACTTCATCCCACCTTCGTCAGACCACCGCCTGGCCGCCGACCGTCATCAGACTTCAACCCGACCTTAGTTGGACTACCACCCGGCCGCCGTCTGTCGTCTGCCGCTAGACAGTCGTCAGATCGTTCATTATCAGCTAAACTTGTGCACAAAAGCTGTCAAACTCTTGCCCAACCGTCGACAAACCTTTGACAAGTTCCCCAAATTACTGTAATCTAACCACCTCTTAATCAAGGGACGGGTAAACCCTTGTAATTCACTTAAGTTTAGTGGAATCTTTTCACCTGGGCGAGGCCCCGTGGTTTTTCCCTATTCATGTTTTTCACGTAAAAACGATCGGGTGCTTTACTTCTCTTTTTCTTCTTGCGTGCTGGATCTTCATACAATGCTGAGACGCTAAACTTTATTTTTCTCTACCGTCACGAATATTCCTGGACGCAACAAGGTCCTTCATTGGAGGGAAGACCTTGGCTTGATGTAGCAAATATACATCATATAAAGGGCATTACATGTTGGGAATTTGAAGAATTAGCATTGAAATGTTCATTTGGTTGGCTGGATCATAGTCGGCGGACAAGAAAGGTCTGAAAGATCATAGTCGGGTGACGGTGTTCGGAAGGACCGTAGTCACCAGATGTTGAAAAGAGTGTTGTCAAGCAATGGAGGTCTAAAGGACCATAATCAACATTCCACAAAGGTTAGAAAGACCGCTATCAGGCGACGAAGGTTGGAAGGACTGTAGTTGACGGACAACGGAGGTCGAAAATACTGTAATTTGGAAGGTTCCAACATAAATTTTCCTTGAGATGTGTGCCCGATCACAATTAATTTTTGATGATTATAAGTTATAATTGCGTTCTTTTATAATTTTTTATTTATTGGATTGTTATAGTTGTATTTACAATTATGATTGATGTGTATATACTATTAGTGAAAATGTTAGTTATATATAGATTTAACTTTATATGTCTTAAATTTGAAAATAAAGTTTTTGCATCTTTTTTACTGCTTATTTATGAAGAAATTGTGACCAGCCTACATATTTGCATGAATTTGCGGCAGACTTGTAACATAAATGATCATCTTATATAATTTGTGAATAAATTGGGACATGTAGGTTTATGGTCTATTTGTGACAACTTTTTGGTAGCCTTACTTTTTATATGGCAATCCTAATTTTATTTAGCTAATGTTTTTTGTTACTTTAGAGATTCATTTCAGAAATTTCTATGATAAAAAAGTTTTTTGGGCAACTATAATATATGAACTTTTATTACGTCCTCTGACCGGACATAAATCTACGTTCGGTCAGAGGATTGTTACTCGATTTTTGCTCGGTATTTGGTCGGTATTGCTAGGTATTGTTTGATAATAACGAGGAATATCACTCTAGGAAGACCAAAATCGAGTAATACCGAGCAATACCAAGTATTACAAAAAAATATCGAGTTTTTCTAGAAAAAACTCGGTATTGCACGGTATTTTGTCTTCACATAATGATATTTCTCGTTATTATTGGTATTGCTCGGTATTTCTCGTTTTGTGCCTGCGATCTTAGTGCCGGCCAAACGTAGCTCTACGTACATTCACCGGACCAAATAAAAGTTCATAATATATAGTGAATTTTTTTCTACAACAATTTCACAATCAACTTTATAAAAAGTTGAAGTTGTCTCAAACAAGCCCTTAGTTTTAGTTTCATGTTGAATTATACTAATTTTGACCTCAGTATTATTCAGTTAAAAAGACCGAATTTCAAATTTAAATTTAAATAATTATTGCTTCATTATATCTCAGCTTTCATAGTTATCAACATGATCACAACAAAAAAATTATTAAAAAAACTTATAAAATATAGCGGAAAAAACTTCTTCATCCCCTGTCTATCTATCGTATAAAACAAATATCTCACAGAACTTGATACTTTTCACACTCAAGTAGTAAATAAGCAGAAAATGCGCAACATATACTTAATAAGTACGCAAGTCAAATAAATATCGCAGACTTTTAACTTTTCACGAAAGCATTCGAACACAGCTCTAAAACCGGATTCCGCACAGAATAATTTCTCCACACTCAAAAGGGTTTTCTAGCAGTTGCTTAAATCTACATTTTATGAACAAAATGAATGCCTCTGAATATCGCCAAATTTCTAAGAGGAGGATGATGGGTCTGAGGTAAGTTTGATATAAAATTTTTAACTATCGAATGTGGGACTAAATCAACAACTATCATAGGATTTTAATAGATCTTTTCTCTTACATATGAGCTTTATTTATTATGAGAAGTATCATTTCTTAAGTACTGTTCAACTATGATAAAGTGCATGTTCATAAGCTCCGCATTATTTTGTTTCAACTGAAGGAAAATGAAATCGAGCCAAAAATGGTCAATAAAAAATTTATCTCAATAGATTAAGGAAGTCATAGCCATTAGTTTTTTTATATTAATTTATATTTTATTCAACTATTAGATGATTAATGATTACACTAAATATGCTTGCATTTCTTAATAAAAGAAAGAGAAGGGAGCGTGGAGGAAGACAGATCCAGACATAGAGAAACAGAGGAGAAAAAATAAAAAAAATCATGAAGAAGCATCTGGCTCTTCATAAACAAATCTTAGTGAGCTGGCTTTTAGTTCTAATTAAAAAGCATCCAACAAATTAGAACTTATTTGGTTATTTGCAGATAGGGAAATTTTTTTAAAAATAATAATTTTATTTTTACTCATCATCATCATCAACAAGCCTTTTTCTTGCTACGTGAGGTCGGCAACCTGAATTCTTTTTCTCCGTTGTGTCTTTTTAAGAGTCAAATTTGCAATTAAATATAATAAAACAATGTCATTTATAATACTTTCTAAGTAAGTCTTTTTAGGTCCGCCTCTATCTTTCTTAACATTGACAAAATCTAATACGTCTACTCTTTTAACTGAGTCATTAGAAAGCTGATGTTTTATATGACCAAACCATCTAAAGTGACTCTCTCTAATCTTATTTGCCACTAGAGCTACTCCAACCTTTTCATGTATATACTTATTTCGCATTCTGTCTCTAAGAGTAAAGCAACTCATCAACCTTAGCATTCTCATCTTTGCAACACTTAATTTTATTTTTACTCTTGAGAAAACTAAAACTATAATTTTTTGAAAATTTTGAGGAGATTTATGAGGTTTAAACTTTACATAATGAGCCATTATGGACTGATAAATAATAGTAAAAGCTGAAATGGTCAATGATCTGTGCAAATACTGAAAGAAATTATTTGCTCTTGAAATTTGAAAATTGCAACAATTTAAAAATGTACAGGTAGTTCTCTTTTACTTTGTAGGAGAATAATTCATACAATTTTCCTCTTGTTTAATTTATTTTTCAAGAGGGAAGGTTTATTTTCCTTAGTTTTCTTACCTGATAGCTCTCTCATGAATAAACTCCCATAGGAGCTCTCCTTGGAATCCCCTTTCTTCGTTTGATTCGATTCATCTTAATCAATGGAGTCTGTGCTGTTGGTGAGATGCAATCAAATGAAATATTGGAAAAGAAGTACTTTGATTCCTCATTAATGCCAGCTTTTCTGGGACCAGAATGAAGCTTCAGAGGTTTTGATATTGAAGAAGGAGATGAAGTGGTTACAGCCAACTGCAAAGCATAATTAAAGTTTTAGTTTATGTGTCAATTATTCCACATAATGATGATATTGTAAAATTAATTAATCTAAATGAGGCTTAGTTTAATAGAAACTGCATAATTAATGTGCAATTAGATGTATTAAGTTAGTATAATTATGTCTATTTAATTCAGGGTTGGAACATCATAATCAGCATGGATCTATCTGTTTTTTATTTAAGTATATGAAAGTAGTTTGAGCTAAATTTAGCAGTGAGAGTTATTCATCTTGCTGTGAATTTATTTCTATTGTTGTTTAGATTATAAGAAGTTTTAGTTGATTGATCCATTTTCTTTTTAATTTTATACAGTGGCAGAACTTAGTAATGTTGAGGGTGGGCAATTAAATTTAACTTTTAATAAGGGCAATTTCAGAATTTTGCTCTCTTAAAATTTCTTTTCTTTTTGCACTAACATGTTGAGAAAAAAAAAAAAAAAAGGTTCGCCCTCCCTCCGCTCCAATCTTGCATGTTCATCCTCTATCTCGTTCAATAGTACTCACACGCTCCATGTCATTGTTTGATGTTGCTCACCGGTTACACATCGCCTCTCGCTAGCTATACGCCACACGCTGCCTCAAAGGCCACATTGCCTTGCAAGAGTTCTGCCCCCACCGGTCAACCCGATGGGGAGAGTGATTTCTATAACAAGAATTGTCAAACATCGATTGAATAGTAGAATATGGGATGACTATTTTAATAAATGTTTAGCACTTTACGTTAAGAAATAAATATTTGACTTAGTTACAATAAAGTTATAATGCAACTTTATCAGAAAATGCAAAATAAATCAAAAAACTTGTAATCATAGTTCTATTCATCAATCATAATAAAATACAAAACTTTGCTTTTAATTTGATTATATATATATATTTCTAGTTTATTATAGTTAGTTATTTATGTAATAAATTTGTTCACATTTAAAAAAAAGTTGGTTCTACCCCTAATTATATATTATTGTGTTGCCATTTTTATTATAAAACAAAATAATAATACTTTAATCAACCTTCTTTTAAGTTTAAGACATATTTTTAATTTCATTATGAAGAAGAAGAATTAAATCCTCTTCCAAACCCTCAAAAGGAGACTTTCAACTTTGAAAACTAGTTTCCAAAATTGAAACATATATTTTAATCTACTGTCCACTTTAATGTCTTCATGACTTTAGATCCCTCTTCTCATGAAAAACAAAAATACCCAAATTCTACTCAACCAAATTAGAGTTAAAAAAACCCTTTCGCTATATTCTTCCATATATTGAATTGAACAACAAGCTCCTTCCACAAACTCCTCTTCCTCTTCACATGCTATTGGATTCATTAATGCCTTAATTTCTCCAACAAGCTCTCGTCATGAACTCCTTTTATGCTTCACATGCTGATAACCTAGTTGTGTGCCTACCCCCTTTGAGTTCTTAATACAACTCCTTTCCCTCACACACCATCATTCCAATCTAAACTTGCCCCAAATGACCTTTAGTCACAAATTTCTTCTCTCCTTCACATGCTACTTACTCGCAACAAGCTCCCATCATGAACTTAGTCTTCTCCTTAACACACCGCTGGCCCCATCAATGCCTTCTTCCAACAAGATTCCTCTGATGAGAAAGACAAATTGCCAGGGTTCAAGCGCCAATTTTAACTAAGATTCAAACTAGTTTAAAATGATTTACAAGTGTAACGAACAGTCCACAAATACAAGAGTTCATCCCTCATTGGCGATACATTCATAAAACATGCTCTCATTTATTTTTCTCTAAATATGATATAGTTTTGTTTTCACCATTTCAGTACTTTGAACTTTTCTCTATAAGAATTTTCTGTCACAATATAAAGTTCTTTATTCTGTGATTATTGATATGATATCAACAACTACATATTTTTTTATTGAATAAATTAGCCAACAAATTCATGCATGTATTGTAAGGTCCTTACAGTACTAAATAAATACATGTTTTAAATACAGTACTGCACATGCTAATTGTAATGAATGCTGAAGGTTTAAATGGATGATCAGCTTAAAAAAATTTAGTTTAAGCTTAATTAGTACCTAATGGTTGAATAATTTCTTTTATTTTTATTTCCAAACAAAGTTATATGCTACTAAAAAGATACTCTTAACCACAAAACCAGTTTGTTGAGCGGCTTCCATCAGAAGCGACCAAACCACCCACAGAGAAAATGAAAGAACTTAATGATTGTTTTTAGCAATAAATCCATAATTATAAAGTAAAGCTATAGTTATGTTTTACTTAATTACAAAAAATTATCATTGCTTTAATTATATTTTCTTAAAAAAGGATGAGAAATTAAATGTAAACAAAGAAATTAAGAAGAAGGAATGCGAAGCAGCCATTGTTGATTGATTTGTTACCTTACAGCCCAAAGAGCAGAAATCGAAGGCTTCGAGGAGGCTTCTTTTGCAGTTTCTACAAGCATTTGTTGCCACTGCCTTCCCCATCCTTGGCTGCAATCTCTCGTTCAAAAATACAACCTTTGCTCCATTTATAACATAAGTCTGAATTCCAGAAATGTCAACTAAGCTCTGAATCTCTGCAACTCGGATCACATCATGATATGATGATCTCCTTATCTGTTTCATTTCAATTTGATTTCTGTGATCATATTGGTTAATGAGAAAATACTGATAAAAGAAATGAGATTCATCCTATAATTAAGAACCTGAATGATTCTATGATCATAATGGTTGATGAGGCAAGAAGAGCAAAGGGCGCCATTAGTGCAATCAAGACAGTACATATTGCACTCATTCCTGCTCAAGCCAGTGTGGAAGCTGCAAGGAGAGAAGAAGTTGGTGTGAAGCAAAGGGCTCAGCCATGGAGGCCAGAGAAGTTTCTTCTTTTCTATTTCAGACATTTTCTTTTAAGTTTGAGAGGTATGAAGAAGGAAATGATGAGAATGCCAGAGAGAGAGAGAGAGGGAGTAAGGGAGGGGGTTGGAGCTTATTATAACACTGAGAATAATGCAAGGGTGAGGGGTATAACGATGTATGATGAGCTAAAATCATGTTGCCATTTAAATAAGATTGATGATATCTTGAGCTATTTTATTTTTGGATTAAAGGACAATGAAACTCTAATTCTGAATAATCAAATATATATGAGTAAATCTATAAAGTTTCACTCTCTCAATCTGAAACAGTATGATTTTTCTTATGTTTAAAAAAATACTATAAAGTTTCCACAAAATTAAAGTATGTGTTCCATTTTAGTACACTGAAAATCATTGACTTATTTTGAAGAAATTATTAAATTTGAATTTTATGATATGAATAAATTAAATTGCCTCTTTACCAACGGTCTCTATCTCTCTCTTATTACAAATTTGAGTAAATTAATCTATATATAAAAAAACTCAGTTAACCCATTTCTTTAGGTGGGCTAATCTAGCTTTTTATTGGTCCCCTCTATTTATTTATTTATATAACACAATATGTAATTATTTTTTAATAATTTTTAAATATATTGTCTCCCTTTTATTTGACTCCATGAGAATATATTCTTTTGAAAGATTTTACTTTCTCTATCTTCCTCCATAAAGGTATTAGCTGGTTACACAAATTTCTTCTCTATTTTTCCAACTCTAAGATTTTGTTTGGAATGACTTTCTTACTGCTTCTTAAAGTAACTTTTTAGTACAAAAAATTTAATTTTTGTATTAAAAGCTACTTTAAGAAACAGTGATAAAACTGTCTCAAACAAAACCTAAATGGCTCGTATAATTAAGCACATACATATGAAATTATTAAAGTCATCCTCATTGCTTTTAGTCTTTTCAAGTGGACAATAATGGACTAATTCCTATAGCCCTCCATCAAAATCATACACCAAAAGGATTACAAATTATTTATAATTTGCAAAGTCGAAATCAAAGACAACCACTACATCAATGATGAAACATAACTGGACATGATGATTGAAAAATCTGAAAAAAAAAAACAAATGGAGAAATAATTGTTCACATTGATTAAAATAAAGTATTTGGAAAGATTTATAATTACAATATTATAAATAATTGATGGCAAAGGATGCTAATGTCATGGTTGTTGATCTTCCTTGCTCCTAACTATCCAACCTAACCCAAATTTCTGGCGTTGGAAATCATGAATTATTAGTTCTTCAGCTTCTGCACAAGATGGAATTATATAATATATTATTTGGTGGAAGCTGAGGAGATTGATCATTGACTCTTTTTTCTGGGACATGTACTCTATTTTCTCCATGATTACGTCTTGCTATAATTTCAATCTCTCTCATAAAGATGTGTGGCTGGTGAGCTCATAAAAGATTTATACTTCTATGTTGTTCTTCAAGTTTTTTGGGGTCAAAATAGATCTTAAAGAACTTTTGATGGTATTAACAAATATGCTAGATCTAATTCATAGGTTGAATTGGGTTGGTGTTTGTATCCATAACATCATTTTTTTCTATTATTATCAATGGAGAGATTAATGGTTGTTTTAAGTCCTCTAATGGGTTGAGGTTGGCACATGTTGATAACACGAAAGGAGGGGGTGGCTAAGTCTTGTAACACGTGTTAATTACATGTGTTTAAATTACACTAATGGTGAGATTAGTTTCAACACATGTTTATTATATGAAAGAAGATGCCGGGGTGGATTTAAGTCTTGTCGAGAAAGATAGTAACACCATAATTCACACATTTTGTTTTCATCAAGGAGGAAGCGGTCATGTATGTGCTTAAATTCCATCGCTTTAATTCTATGCCAAATGATGGTTATGATCTTCATAAATGTAATGCTCTATTCTATGATATGGTGCAGTACTTTGGATAATATGTAAGTTTGTGATCATGTGGTATTTGGGCTAATTATGCTGAGGCGACTCTCATGCTACATAAGTAGATGATGTGATTCCTTTATAGATGACCAATATTAATTTTCCTTCTTATATGCACTCTACAATGTATAATGGGTGTCTTGTATTATGATTTATCATTTTTTTCTCATTAGCAATAAGCTGCTAACGATTTGCATCTTTTATAATGCCTCCAAAGAATGATTGTTATTTTTTTTTTCTTTTAGAGGAAGTGGTCTTGATATAATTCAAGAAGATTGTGATTAGTTTAATATAATGATACTAGTTAGAGGTAGCTTAATGTCCCTATATATATCAACATTCCCTTTATTGGTGGTACTATTTGATAATAGGTGTCAGGATGATTTTGGTGATTATAAAAGGTAAAGTAAAATCTAAGACATATACTACAAATGCACATTCATAATTGACACCTCTTACTATTATATATCATGATTGTTCATGAATTATCACTAAATAGCAAGTTGGTTCCACTGCAAGTGCACATTCATAATCCCAAAGCTCAAACTACTTATAATGGTCATTAAGTTAATATATATCAACTTTGCCTCTCATCTCCACCTTTGGAACCTTATCTTTATTAGCTCAATGTTAACTTGTTGCTCTCCTCTAAAATGACACAAACACCATCTAGTAAATACCCCTCAACACATATCCAATATATTAAAGACAGTCTAAGAGATCAAATCTTAAATCCTAAAAGACAATATAAAAACATGTAGCAACAAAGTTGAGCTTCTATTTAACTCGTTCAATTTTTATATCATTCATAAAAATTTAAATATAATGGAAGCTAATGTAAAATAACTACAACATACAAAACAAATTGATTCTGAAGAATTAAAAAAAAAAGAAAAAAATTCTGAAGAATATTATCTATCTCGTCTATTTAGAAAATAATATTTTGCCAACAAGAATTTGATGCACTCATTTCCCCTTACGCCTAAAGATATAAGTCAAGCATTATTTAATCTATATTGAATAATAAATGTAATTAACGTATTGATATAGAAAATTACTTATATTTTAGTGATATCATAAGTATATTTAGGGTATATATTTTCAATATTCTTCAGGGAAAATTACTCATCTCCACCTTACTACATGCAAAGTAGCTCTCCCAATGTGTATATATTTTCAAGCATGGTCATGTAATAAATGTAAATGTCTTTTCATGTCAACTTGAATGGTTTTATTGATTTCTTCAATTCACTAAGGGTCCTAGCATAGCCCAACCTAATAAAATTATGTGCAAATGCTTAGAACCTCTAACACGAGAAAAAAACTATAAATGAACCTCATTTACAGAAGCATTCAACATGAAGAAGAACTAAATAAGGAGCAATATATATATGCTCAAACATGGCAAATACGACACAATTCATCTATATCCATGTACTAAAGTCCAATAAATCTACTTTAGTTGCATGTATGTATGGACTTGGGCCTATCTCATATGAAATGAATGCGAAACATTTTAGTCGTGAGAGTAATAGAATACATTATCTAGTTTGGGTGGATTCAAAATATATCATCATAATAATTTGGCCATAAATATCACATATGATCTTCACTAGAAGTTAAATGGCTAAAGAAGCCCCGTGCTTATGATAATAAGTACATTTTGGTGTGTGTGATAGTTATGTCATCCATCAATAAATGAAAATTGTTGGTCTTGGAGGAACAATACTTGACCAAGGAAATCAACATATGACGACTTAATGTAACACACACCTATGAGGATTTACTTCCACAAACTTCAGGGTCACAAGGAATAAGAGACATACTATTAGCCACTATTTTGCCATCAACAAAAAGCTAGAAGCCCTTAGTATAATGCATTAGAAAAAAAGTCACTAAAAGTTAGTAATTACATAATCTTAATGTTATTTAATGTATAACTTAGTTCATTCATAGTCACCATACTAGGTTAGGATTTGTTGCACTATGAGATTCTTTTGGGTAGGCAATATTGGGATTAATCTCTGATGAAGAACCTAATCCATATCTTGCTCAATAGTAGTCAAAGTTGAGCCATGATGCATTATTGGATATGACATTCATGAAAATTTTAACGGGTCTTATAATTTTGATCTCATAATTTTTTTAAATCATCATGATAATTGTTGGCCTGAAATTTTTATGATGCAGAATTTTGGTCATTAAAAGAGAAACATAAAATTAAGTGTTGCATAGATGAGAATGCTCAGGTGGATGAGTGGCTTGAATGTTAGAGACGGAATGCAAAATGAATATAGATGTGAAAAAGTTGGAGTAGCTCCAGTGGCAGATAAGATTAAAGAGAGTCGTCTTAAATAGTTAGGTCACATAAAACATTGGCCTGTGTAAAGAAAGGTAGAGGTATACCTTACAAAGACTTGATTAAAAAATATGAGAAATAACTTTTTTTATTAAATTTAAATGAGAATTTTATTTTTAATATGACACAATGAAGAAAAAAATAATTGATCTCACAGAGTGGGATAAAGGGTTTGATATTATTTTTGTTATTCTTCATTGGTGAAAGTCCAAATAATATTTTTTTGCTGTTGGACAATTGAGAATATAGAATTCCTCTTTAATTATCTTAATAATTGGTAAGATAATGTTATCTATCTAATAATTTTTAATTTTATTTGGGTTTTAGGTCCATTTTTCACAACCAGTAACATGACAGACAGGTAAAAGAAAAGCATCACATTTTAAAAGTGGCATATAATCATTCAGCCCTACCTAATACAGGTAGTTGCTATTAAATAAATACCGCTAAATTTGACCAAAATCAATTCTGCCTAAACTCAAGGGTCACTTCATCTGGTTTAGTTTTTTTTATTATTTTTAAAAATGGCAATTTAAATGTTTAATATGATATATATATATGTCATGACATGATTATTCGATAAATTTTATTTTGATTGTCAACTACCTATCGCAACCCTCCACTTTTTCATTCAGAACTTGGGACCTAACAACAACAGTGTTAAAAGAGTGTGAACATCAGGACTTTCCTAGGAGGTCACACATCCTAACACTACTTTTGCCCAGACACGCTTAACTGTAAAGTTCTGATATAATTTGATGCACTGGTGATAGTTTGATCGCGCTGCGGCGCGTCGCGCGCGCGCACACACACACACATATAATATATATATATAAATATATTATAGTATATATATATATATAATATAATATATATATATTTATATATATATATATATATCTTTATAATTTTATAAATAATTGGCATCATATTTTTATATAAAAATATGGGGTCAATATGTACAATGAATCAAATGAATGGTCTCCCTTAATACATTCCTTTATGTGATAAAGTTTACTCCATTTATGATTAAGCCATTTATCTCAATTCATAAGCTCATGAAATAATGACAAAAATATATATATTTAAAAATAATATAATATTAATTTTTAATATATTAACTCATTAAAAAAAAAAAAAAACGCTCCATCAAATCTTGTTCAATAATAGGATTTTTTCCTATCTCAACCCATTTTTTTTCTGCAAATAAACTAAGGCTCTTAGAATTTATATAAATTTTCGCATACTTAGGCAGAAAACAAAGAATTTCGAACAGTGGAACCATGCAATCATATACAACATTTAATATTGCTTACATAATCATGCAAAACAGAACATAGTGTCTTCACCTTAGTTCATACTTGCAAAATAATCATAAAAAAGTGCTAACCAATACTACATCAAAATACTTAAAGCTGCGCCTGAAAGCCATAAGAGTTTTATATACAATATGCACATTATATCAGAACAATATACATAGTAACAAACTTATATCATAGGAAGCCATAGATGTTCATTGTTTATTTTCTGGTTGTCAGAGGGCTTTGACACATCTTCCTTAGATTGTGTTCCTTCTCCTCCTTCTGGCTTCCCTCATCAGGCATAATCAGCTCCCATCCTCAGCAATTTTATCCAACCAAGCTTCACTCTTTTCCTTGAAATCATACCTATATAAAGAATTTAGATAATGATAGGTCCTGAATATGCATTAAAATATTATAGAAATTTGAACTTTGTGGTTGCAAATATTTTACTTGAACTTGTCACAAAGTGTTATAAAAAATGGTAAAAGTAAATCATATCCATTTATCAACTAACTATCAATGTGATAGAATGCAAGGTTAGCCAATAATTAATCACCCTCAAAGAATGCAAGGTTTCCCTAAAAGTTGCTAATCAACACTTGCATGAGTGCATTGCAATCAAAGAATTTATAACACTCACCGAGGATTAGGGGGTTGGTGGGCGAGCACGGTTGGGATCCCCCCCATCCTGGGTTCGAATCCCCTCTATTATGGTCTCGCATCTTCTATGGGACAAAGCAAGTGTGGGCTCGATGCCGGGATGGCCTCGCTAGGTTTAGTTATGCTGCCAAGCGATCCCTTTGGAGTGCAGTGGGTAGACACCCAAAAAAAAAAAAATTATAAACGAAACACAGCATATAAAGTGTTAGAACACTAACATATAATGCGTAATATACCTTACCTATTCCACTTAGCCACATGCAGCTCCACTACTCATGCTCCCAGTCTGCGCCCTAACAACGCCTGCTCCTCTGACGCACACGACTCTTGCTCTATTTATATACACACTCACTGTATTGCTTGCGTGCTGAATTTTACCAAAGGAATGAATTAAATTCCGAATACCTTCTCTCTCTGCTTCTGCTTTACTAACAGTTTTGCAGATCTCTTAATGTATCAGAGCACCGGGAAACAAGCCTCTTGATGCGAACATCCAACCGTCCAATTGCTATCCGAGGAGCTGAAGATCAACGGCTGTCCATCGTCCCACGTTATCTTATATTTTATTGTAATTTTTAAATTTTTATTATAATTTTCCGTTTTACCCACACTTAAGAGGGTCGTCCTATATAGTCTTTAGGAGCATATGTGTCTGTTGTTAGTTTCTTAGGCCTATATATTGAGGCCCTTTCTTGCTGTAACTGGGATGATGAATTGATAATTGAAATTTTTCCTACTTGTTGTATCTTTAGTGAGTGTTCATGAGAGGAGAAGGATCTCTTTGTGAGTTCCGAGATTCCCAAGATCTCTTTGTGAGGTTCTTGAGGAAGTGGTGCTTTGTAGATCTCTTTGTGAGTTCATTGGAGGTGTTGCTTGAGGTGTGTAGCTTCGGATTTTTCTTTTTCCTAAACCACATTTATTTCTTCTCTACCTAACCAAACTCTCTTCTCCCAAATTCCCCTCCACCGGCCCCCATAAGTCCACCGCCGGCCACCCCAGGCCAATCCCCGCCACCGGCGGCTCTGCCAGCCTCCCTGGACGGGCCAAGCCACCGGCCTCCTCTTGGGAATTTCAAATTTGAAATTCAAATTTGTTTCCAAGAGGCATTGAAGACTTCCTAAAAAGTTCCTTTGATTTAAGGCTTTCAATATTATGATGTCAATTTGAATTTGAAATTCAAATTAATTCTATATTGATAGCCCCATTATTTGAAACTTTCCTTTCTTTCAAAATCTGAATTTTATTAAATCTTTGATTAGTAATGTGGGCCCCACTCTACTTATGACAAATTAATCTCCTCCCTCTCTCTATGTGGCCCAGGCCCCCTCATTGAGCAATAATCTCTCTCTTATCTATAAATAGCCCCACTCATGAAGCCTCCCTAATTTACCTCCCACAATTCCCTCTCACCAATTTAATTCTCCCCATTATAATTTGAATTTAAATTCAAAATTCATTCCGCGCCGTTCCACTTAAATCTGAAATTTATTTTCAGATTTTCATTCTCTCTCCCAATTGATTTGGGATTTAATTAATCTTGCCACCTAGGCAAGTAAATGACATTTACGTTTTACATCACCGTCTCTTGTTAATCCATGGGCGGACTAGGAATCCTCCTCTGCGACTTACCTTCTAAACTCCTAGCTGCTCAACCCGTCTCCTCTCAATCTACGGAAATGGCGGAGCTCACCATACCAACCTCCTGAAGTTTCTCAAACTAATCTCAAGCTCATTATATCTAATCAGCTCACAAGTGACAACTACCCATCTAGAGGTTACAGAATCTTTCAACTGTTCTCCGAGAATGGCTATGAGGGTCACTCGTACTGCGCAGCAACCCTAAACCTCCAGCTTCCCTAGCAGAAACCAATCCCTAATAGCTCCGACTATGGAACTAGTCGATCAAAACCTAGTTTCTGGTCTTCTCTCTACGATTTCACCGTCCGTTCTACCCTACATCCTCACCCCTCTCCACAACAAGGGGACATATGGATCACGCTTGAGCTTCGTCTACAGCCCACGAACCGACCAGAGTGATTCAGCTAAAAAAATGACTGTATATCATCCAGATGAAGACCTCACCATGATGCAGTATCTTGCAAAGAATGAAAGCCGTCGTGGACAACATAGCTGCGACTGTTCACTTCTTGATCTCGAGGAATAATCCTCCACATTCTGAACGGTCTTCCCCCTTCATATACACCCTCAAAACATCCATCCGCACAAGGGGGTGTCAATTTTGACACGACCCAACCGACCCGGAAAAATCCGGGTTCGGGTCAACCGACCCGAAACGGGTCGGGTGTTCGGGTGTGACCCAACAACCCGAAATTGACCCGAAGTGACACGAAAAACTCATTTTGACACGAAAACTCGAGATTGACCCATTTCGACCCGCTGACTGGCCCGTTTTTTACCCGAAAACTAGCAATTTTGGGTCAACCTCGGGTCATTCATGTCGGATTGGGTTGACCCGGACTCGAATCGGGTTAGGTTCGGGTCCCGAAACCTAACCTGTTTTTAAAAACAGGTCGGGTTTGGTTGACCCGAATAGTGCGCGTGTCAGTTCCGGGTTCGACCCGAACCCGACCCGTTGACCCAAATTGACACCCTACGCACAAGCCAGCTTCCCATGAGCCTTAACGTGCTGTATAACCTCCTCTGCAGTGAGGAAATCCACCTTCAAACTGAACTCCAGCGAGACTCCAGTGTGCTACCTGACAATGCGCGCCTTGTATGCCAATCACAACAACTCAACCCGCGGTCTATAGAGGCGTCCCGAGGCCGTGGAGCTCTCTTCAGACCAAATCATCCACTAACCACAATGAAACCACCAAGCCGGTTTGCCAAATCTATGGGAAACAGGGCGGCGCCTCTTCATGCTGCCAAATACAAACTCCAACTACAAGTCTTTCATCAAAATCCCTCATCGAAGGCTCTTCTGACCAGCTCGCAACCCACCTCCCTCAACGAGTGGGTCCAGGACTCTGGAGCATCTGCTCATCTCACTCCAAATGCGGGCAACCTGCAGTATTCAGCTCCTTACATCGGATCAGAGACTATCTCCACGGAATGGCAACTCCCTTCCTATCCATCACACCGAACAAAGAAATTCTTCCCCTCACTGAATCCACCGTAAGCTCTATCTACGCAATCTCCTCCACATTCCATCACTGTCTCACAATCTCTTTTCAACATAAACTAACAACTGATAATAACTGCTCTATATATTGATTCGAACGGCTCCCTAATCAAGGACCTACTGGACAATCGAACTCTCATCCGTGGACAATGCCATAATGGTCTGTACGCTGTCCTTCACCCACAACAACATCTCACGCTGCTTTCACTCCACATCAAATTCAGCAACCTGGCATGTCCGCGCTTGGTCATCCCAAAGCTCGGACACATCAAGCAACTATCCAAAGTAATCTCTTCTATATTGTACTCCCTTACTCGTCTTATGTTTGTCAGTCTTGTAATGTGGCCAAAAGCCACAAGTTACCCTTCAACTCTTCAGTGGGGCCAAAGCAAGTCTGGGCCCAATGCCAGTGGTGGCCTTGCTAGGTTCCGCCAAGGATTAGTTACAACATCAAGCGCTCCCTTTGAAGTAATAGAGGGTAGATACCCCATTCCAAAAAAAAATAAAAATTATAACGAACCAACATATAAAGTTCCAGAAAGGTAAATTTTTTATTAAGAGCTAGTTTTTTTTTTTAAAAAACCACAGAACTCCCCCCATACAGTCACAAATTCCACAAAATTATTGATACCCAGATATTAGCTACAGAATAAAAAATCTCAATGTATGGCTTCCAGCAAATCCCGGAATCAGGAACAAGATTAGAACAGCGATTAATGATTTCCAGCTACAGAACCAAGCTTGTTGGCTACAGAATCTAAGCAGCCAAGCACGCTAGTCAAAGAATCAGTGCCAAACAACCCAACCCCAAACAAGCCACTTATCACAATAGGAAGAATCCCGGTTCTCTACAATCAAGGGTAAACCAAACAACCAATAGTAAAACTGACAGTGAGCCAATATTACCAATGAAACATTACCAGCTCAAGTTACGGCCCAACTCCAACAGCACAACGAGGTACAACAAGGCCCGTTAAGAGAAAACAGCAATAATACCAATTCAAACTAAATAGAGACATGTCCAAAACAGCTTTAAGGTTTTAGAGGTTTGATTCAATTAAATTAAGAAATTAAGAAATTAAGAAAAAAAAAGTAAAAGCCAATATCAATTTAATTCATAGATTTAGGCTTCGTTTGTGACGACTTTCTTTCTGCTTCTTAAAACAGTTTTTAGTACAAAAATTAAATGCTTATAGTACGAAATTTTTAATTTTTTACTAAAAAGCTGCTTTAGGAAGAAAGTAAGAAAGCCGTCACAAATGAAGCCTTGGTGAAAAATTTACTAGATACTTCATCAGAAAGTTGTATTATCAACTAGAGCAAGCATGTTTTATTCAATTTCACATCCAGGAATAGACTGAGCTTCTATTAGAGGTTTTAGAGGTTCAAATTTTGATATGATTCATACTCAATTTCAGTTTCAAATCCAAACTTCGACTCTCATTCAAGTATAGGTTTAGATTTCAAGAATATGTAGATGTATAGATTTGAAATCAATAAATTCATATGCAGATCCATATTATAACAACAAATCAACTTACACATCTACTATATCCTAAAAAGTATATTGATGAACAATAATTTCTTTAATAGGATTTGTGTTTTTTTTTTTTTTTTTTAAGTGGAATATTATAACTAAATAATGATATGAGTACACCATGTGCAATTAACAAGAATTGTCATGTGCAATTAACAAGAATTGTCAGAAATAAAAGAAATTACAATAACCCCTAAAATATTAATCATGAAGGCTAAGGGGGAAGCACTCAAAGGATCAAGGAAACAATAAAAAAACTCACTTGGATTGTCTTGCTTGTAGTCTTGTGAAGACAAGGGAGCGGCGATTAGAGGGTGCTCTTTCAATACAATTTTGATGATTAGTATACTTCATTATCGTTATGGTACATGCATATATTTTATAATTGTCGAGACTTTTGACAATACTACATTGGTGCTATTGATACTAGTGTTGATGGAACCTTAACAAGAAAAGGATTAGGAGCTCCTACCAATAGGGTATGATGTAGATAATACTACCTCTGCATTAGCAAAGAGGTTTCCCTAACAAAAACCTAAAATCCCAGATTACACTAGAAGCAACTTAACCGTTGTTCAAGCACTACAAAATCCAACTCAACATCATTTTAAAGGGTTTTCAATTATCCTCATCATACACCATGATTATTCAATTACTATAATTTTATATTTACACTTGAACTATAAAATTATAAAAAGTCACAAATATTTTGTATTACTCTGATACAAAATGCTTAACGGTCATGGGTTTCCAATGAGACGAAATAGTGAAGTGGATGTAGACCATATAAATGAAATAAAGATTTGTTGAGCAAAGGCCACTAAGAACATAAATTTCTTCATTAGATGTAAACCCAAAAATACGAGAAGTAGGATCAAAATGATAATGCAATAATAGATTAAATATGAACAGTAAAGAACCAACAAGTAGACAAATTATTTTATCGCAATCAAAAACCCAAGGGTGAAAATTCTATGAACGATTAAAGGAGACTGCAAGGAATTTACATCAGGAATAGCAACATTTTAGTCATAACTATGCACAACCTGCAGGAAGGACACCAAATTTCTTAGCTCAAATGTTCACCACATTTACGTGGGTCATGTGAAGAACATAAATCTCAGAGCAACCAAAGCCAAGTCACTTCTTAAAGATAAAGAAACCCATCTAATACAGAGTTGGCTTACATAGATAAACAAGACATTTGGGACACAATAGATTTTCCTATCGAACAGAAGATTGCCTTAGTAATTGAACAAGGGTGCAATACATTGGTGGATTTCATTAAGAAGTATTCAAGGAGGCCTTCCAATCTAACTACAAGCCACTGGTGACACATTACCACATGCACGATGACCTAGGCTAACTAAAGCAAAGGGACATGACCGTGGCTGAATACGAAGTGAAGTGCATGGCATTAGCTCACTAAGTGTCAACTATGGTTTTGGACGAGGAATGAAAGGTGTTTCCTATTTCTTAAGAGTTCGAGGTGCTTCATTTGACAATTGTTGGTGCCATTACACCCGAAAAGCTATGGATTATGGTAGATTAAGCCTTCGTGAGATGGAACAAGTAGTAGATGATCCTAGGATGGCGCGAATCAAGCAATAGGAGAGACAAGGATTATAGAGGGAGAAAAGGATGATTAGATAGGACAATCAATTGTCCAAGAAGAGTTATGAAATGAAAACCACTTGCCCAGAGTATGGGGAAAGGTAGAAAGTGCAATTTTGGTGAATTTTCATCCATACTGTAAACGTAAAGGGTTTGTACACATGACCTTTAATTGTCCTCTAAGAGGGTATTCTTAGTGTATCAAGAGCCTAAGCTTATCTAGCAATAGAGAAGTTGGAGCCTGACATTTAGATGTTTAAATGAACCTAACCAAATGCTAATCCATACAAAATAACTCTACTCAAGAAATTAGTATATACACCGACTCATTAAGAAGAAACAAAGGGATCTAAGGTGTTGGTTAATGGGTGCCCTATCATAGTACCATGATAAGCCTACGATGCCTTTGTTTGATTCAGAAGCATCTCAATCATTTATAGAGGAGTCATTTAAGGTTGTCTATCCTATTATCGATTGGAGGTAGTATCAAAGTTTTTATATATGTTTATAGAAACAAAGCATTTTATTCTTCCTTCCCTCAACAGGAGACCCACAATGAATAGGTTAGCTCAACACCACACTATGATTGACAAATGAGAGGAAAAAAAGTTAAGTTCAAAATTTCTCATTGGCCTAATCTCACTTTCTTTGAGAAGAGTCAAGTGATCCCTCTAATAGTGAAAGACATTCAAGATGGTAGATCACTTGTTTCACTTGTTAAAGGATGCCACGCGTACTTACTTTATGTCCAATATGTAGAAAAATCCTTTCAACCAAGTGATGTGCAAGTAGTTCAAGACTACTAGGACATGTTTTAGAATTATTTGGCCGAATAATCTCTGCCCAAGATGTAAAGTTAACAAAATATATATTTCTAGGATGACATCAATTTTGAAAATGTTTAATCGAATGGCGACAATCAAGCTACATGAGCAAAGATCCAACAACAAGATATATTAAATACGGGAATCATTGAGCTAAGTGTTTCATCATAGGGACCTCCATTCTTATTTACAAGGACAAAAAATGGAAGCATGTGATCATGTATCGTTTGTTAGAGAAAAAACAAGATGGTTATCAAGAATAAAAACTATCTTCTAAGAATGGACAATTTCTTTAGAACAATTGCAATGCATGATAGCATCCTATATGATGTACTTGAGATATGAATGCCATAAACTTGCAGTAAAGAAGCAGGTCAAGTTAAAGAAAATTTTCATTATCTACTATAACAATTATGAGTCTATCTTTACATTTTTTTCGCTTGAATATCACTTCAGTAGCTTTCATGAACTTGATGAACAGAAAAAATGCTTATATACCTAAATCACTTTATTATTGTGTTGAAGAAGTCTTAGTTTATCCTAGAAAATTGACCGAGCATAAACATCACTAGTTTTATAGAATTGCCAATAAAACTAATTGTATATGATGTTTTTTAAGTGTATGTTTTAGCTAGCTAGCATTGTTTGCTCAGGCTGCATTGTTAACTTCACAAGTATCTCGGTAGACCCTCAAAAAGTCACTTTCATAGTAGATTGGTCAAGACCAATGAGTGTGTTCGAAGTTCATAGCTTTCTCAAATTAGTGGATTGCTATAGAAGATTCTTTCAAGTAGAGTACTAAAAAGCATGGACATTTTCTCGCCCAACACAAAAGGCAACAAATGTAAATGAACCGATGTGATTGAAAAAAATTTCAACGACTCAAGCAATGTCCTCACTGTCTGATGCTCACCCTTCTTGATGAGAAGGATAGATTCTAAGCCTATAATGATTCTTTCTTGCAAGGTTTAGAAATTGTTTTGAAGGAACATGACACAGTTATCTCATACACCTCGAGACATCTTTAGGAAATATGATAATAATTACCCAACACCTGACATGGAGCTAGTAAGTATGATGTTCACTTAAGATTTGGAGACTAATTCTATGGCATACATGGGCAGATCTTCATCAACCACAGAAGTTAGACCTGCATGTTCACTCAAAAGAAACTCAAATAGCAACAATGAAAATGTCTCAATTATTGAATGATTATGATTATAAATCGATTATCATCTAGAAAGGGAAAATGTATTTGCTAATGCACTAGGCAAATTTTTTTTTTCTTAGAGCCACTACTTACGGAATACATTAAATGATCATCTTGCCAAAGTGGCCAAATCAACTCATGGAGACTTAAGCAAAAGGCCAAATTCTAGCTGATTGGATTTAACAAATTTGAGAAGGAAATTGATCAAACTTTAGCATTGATGATAATAGAGCACCCATTTTCAAAAATCAACAATATGTGCGAATGAAGGAGGACTATATGGAGACCACTCTACTAGAAGCTCACCATTCCAAATATAGCGTTCTAAAATAAGAAATTAGCTAGTATATTAGGAAAATCAAGATTAAGAGGAGTATAATATTAATATTGCTCTAATTGCAATATTAGTTGTTCTTTTTTTTGTTTTTTGATACATGTCTATAAATTTTGATTATGAGTAATAATGTGAAACTTCATAAATAAAAATCAGTATTTAAAATATTTTATGTAATTCATTATGGCTATAATTTCTTTTTTTAATGTAAAACGACTATCTTATGGCTTTGACTCTTTGAGAACTTTCCCAAAATATATCATGCCACTTCTATTGAATTTGCTACCAAAATTCCGGCCCAATATATTTCTCAAAATTTTCATTTGTTTAGAGGTTGAGTTGTAGCTATATTCCTACTAGGGGAGTAACAAACCCTCAGAGCATGCCAATGAATTGTTTCCATTGCTTTTGTGCTTGCACTTTAGATACATCTGAGATTGCACTACTCTATCAAAATGACTAAAGTTATCCACTAGCCACAAACATAATAATATTAGGTTGCTAATGTGTCACTTCCCTAAATTGATCATACTGTAATTTTTATTTGGGTGAAAATACAAAATGTTAAGCTTGCCCATGTGTTCATCCTTTCCACAACTTCACAATAATCATGTTGAGTGAACTTATAGAGCAACTCATCTATATAGGAGAGGGTAGAGACAATTTTATTTAATATAGCACATCACAACATGTTAAACATTGCCAAACGAAGCCTAATCTTCTTCTATTTGCAGTGCACTTTTGTTTAGGTAAGGTGGTAATGATGTGGAATTAACAACAGATTTCTAATGAAAACCAGACAGACAAATCAAATGAACCACTTTTAACCAAATCCGGCCTAATTTCTAACAGTAAGCAGCGCCTATGACTAAATACAAATTATAAATATGCATAAAGAAGAAAATTACATCTACGGATAAAAAATATGATTAAAAAAAGGTAACTTTAAACTATAAAGGATGACCTTGTGAATGAAAGTTTCAGTCTTCTCTGCATCCACGCACACCACTTCTGCCTCGCCTTCCACCTCGATAACAATTTTTTTTAGGTCGCTATCAGACGGTAGTGCTTCGGCCACATCAGAAGAAACCTTCTCTGTTACGTCTGCTACCTTCTTAACTATCTCCACCATATCAATTACTTCCTTCTCCAACACACCTATTGCAGAGTCAAGCCGAACAATGAACCAAATTATTTAATCTTCATAATATTTGATACATCCATTAATTATAGGTTTATCAACAAATGAATCAGATCTACTTTATGAAAAACAAACTAAAACTAATGAGTACCTTCGATTCTCAACATCCTCTTGTATACTGGTATAGCAAGAAAGAGTACGGAACCAAAGATCCATTTAGCACTGCATTCAAACACAGATGAGAAAACACATAAAGATCAGAGAAACCTGTAATGAAATGGCTGAAATAAGAGAAATTAAAACTAGGTCTAAGAGGTACCAAGCCGGAAGATTGAAAAGAAGAAGATTTGAACCCCCAGGTGGAACCGCAACCTGATCAGAGCCTGTGCTTCTGAATAAAAAAAACAAAACAAAACAAAACTGAAAATCAAGCAAAGGAAGACATGAAAATAATTTCTTTAACACACAAAATTTGTACTTTATCTCCTGCTCCACTGAAGCTTGAATGTTCTTAGATGACTGCATCGCTGAAGCTGGATTGGCGCCGGTTCGGCGTCGAGGCGAGACAGCTTTTGATGGTAGAAGAGGAAGAAGAGGAAAGGTAGATAGAGACGATTAGACGAAAGGTATTTGCAGAAGATTGAGAATTAGAAATAAAGAGTAAAGTTAATGTGACGTAATGATGTAATAATATCTTCATAAGCGCTAAATGTCTTGATAAGCTTCGGAATTTAGCCCACGAAATTTCTACAAATATTTTGATATACTCTTTATTTTTTATTTTTTTTTTATTTTTTATTTATATTTACACACATATATCAGTATATCACATATGTGGGTTTCACACGATTGGACATAAAACATTTTAGTTGATAGTTAAAACTCTCTATTAATAGCTTAAGATGAGTCGCATAAAACCTTCTTTGAGGACTATCATTTGAATATCATATTTCATTATTTATTATTAAAAATATATAAAATTGAGGTTTAATGGATGTTATGAGTTTTTATTCACCCTATTTTGCGCCCCGTCGACCACCTGTAGTGTCATATTAGACTCGTATGAAACATGTGATTAGTATGTTAATGAATGGCTTGATTCGCCAATTTGATCGGGCTCCAATCAGAAAAATATAGATTTCAGTTGACCTGTTTAATAAATTGGTCACTCAATGTCCAAAATTCATACCCATTTATTAAATATTTCATGTTTATGTTGACACACCAACTTGATTTTGATTCAAAAATAACATGTTCCATATTTTTTCTTAAATTATTTTGTTTGTTGTTATAATCTTTTTATTTTTATTAATTAATTCAAAATCTATGATTAGCATGTTATTATTATTATTTTTAAATTAAAACGGGTTAGTAGATCATTTGGGTCATTTGGGATGTTAATGGTTAGGTTCGTGATAATTGGATTCGGATAGGACCAATTTCGAACGGTACCAAACTCTATCCATTAAGAAATGGGTCATACGACAATTTGCTATAAAAATTTTAAACACGTTCTTATAATTTAAATTATAAAATGAAATTTATAAGGATGCGGGATAAATTTATTATTAAAAATATAAAATATAGATATACATTAAATATGATATTATAATATTATATTTCAAAATAAATAAAACCTATCTAGTAATAATATAAATTAAATGAATATAAAAATATCTATATAATAATAAATTAAT